ATTTTTCTTTAATGTCCAATTATTACTTCCAAAATCTTTCAATCACTTTATTTGAAATAGTATTTTATTTATTTTGGAAATCATAATATATGCTCCAAATACAGAAGATTGCACAGTAAAAAGTCTCCCTACCATTCAGTCCTCCTTCCCAGAGGACCCCACTAATTATCAATTTCTTGTCTATCATGTCAGAGTTAGTTTACACATATGCAAACATAGATGAATGTATATTCTTTTTTGAAACACAAATAATAGTATTTTATACATACTGTTTTGCATCTTGCTCTTATCACCTAATATCCATCTTTGGAATCTTTCCATATCAGAACACATAGCTGCCTCATCCTTTCTGCTATGTCTCACTTTTAAAATGAGGACAAATGATGCATATGTCAACTATCCTGACTTGATCATCAAACGCTGTACACAAATACTGACAGCCAATTTCTGCACCCCACAGGTATATATGATCAATTATGTTCCAATAAAAAAATTAAGTATAAAAAATGCAGACACAAATGATTTCCTAAACATTTAGCTCTCTTGTCAATGATTTCCTTTCTCTCATTAAAAACCAAAGCAAAAATGGAACCTCAGTGGCCAAAATCTGCACACTTGAGAAGTGTACCTTTTCTTCTTGTATTTTTTCCNAACCTCAGTGGCCAAAATCTGCACACTTGAGAAGTGTACCTTTTCTTCTTGTATTTTTTCCTCAATCCTTTTTGAGGCCACTTCATGGGCCCTGAAGAGTGCAATGGTGCTGGTTTCATCCGGGTCCAAGATGTTCCCGTTGTCATCACGCACTACCAGATCTAACCCAAGCATCCTAGGGAGAAAGGAGTGGTCAGCAGGTTCTTTCCACCAGGGCAGACTCTTCCCTGGTGAGCCCTCATCAAAGAACCCAGAGGATTCAGGTAGAAAGGCCGGGTGCTGGACAAGTCGAGTTAAGAACGGTTTCTTCCAATTTCTGCCTCCCTTCCATGTAACAACAATGACAGAACACTCATGAGGTAACGTTAGCCAAACTCATATAAGAATATGCAAAGTAATTCGGTCCATACAATATCAATGGGAAAGGCAAAATAGGCACTGATCCTGACCAAATTTCTCTGGCCAATGCTTCTTTCCCCTAGTCTTCTGTTATTTGGCACAGGGACTATGAAATACCAATGCAGAATTATTTAAGAGCTTGCCCTGATTTCCTTACTTAATTCAAGACTGCCTTAAAGGAGACCAAGGAAGCAAGTTCTGGCTTGTTGCTATCTCATAACCCGTCCTAGAACAGGGGCTCTGGTGTTGTTAGACCAGGATTTGAATCTTGGTTTTAATGCTTGCCACCACTGTGACCTTGGGTAATTTATTTAATTTTTCAAAGCCTTGGTTTCCTCATCTGGAAATATTTCATGGCTGTTATGAGAGTTTAATGAGGTAATGCATGAAAAGCACCTAGTGCAATATCTAGCAGATAGCAAGCTTTCAATAAACATTAGTTCTTATTGCAAAAACTGGTACAAGGAAACACTGGCTTTAAGTTGTAGCTCTAAGTGCTGCATGGCACCATCCCTCCCCTCCAAAGGCTTTTGTGTCCAATGTGCACACAGAAATAGAAAAATTTTTACTTAGTTCCAAGAAATTGGAGACTGTGGTGGAAATGGGATACTGCTATCTGAATGCCCAGTGTGCATTCCAGGTACCAGCAGTTTGGGCGTGGGGATGTCTAAAAAGCAAGAACGCTCAGGGCCAACACTGAAATGTGCCAAGTCTTTGGGAAGAAAGCAGAAATGCCTACTTCCCCTTGTCCCTGTTTCATAGCATCTCCATCAACTGATTCGATCTGGCAGGTTCCTTTCCATGGCAGCCAGACCCACAGGCCACCCAGAATCATGAACGACAGCCCTGCTAGTTGCTCAGAGACTAGATCACAGATGCACTGAGGGAGCAGCTCCATTTCCTCAGCTGCTTCCAAGGGCTGGAATGGGAAAGCAAGCATGATCTGCCTTGTGGGACCTTAACACCCTGTGCCAGAGATCAGGGAACCTCCAGGCCAACGCCACTGTGGCCAGACCCCAAAATCCAGAGGCAGCACATGTGCAATGGGAACTGCCTCATCCCACCTTAGCTGGCTTTTTAAAAAGTCCTGGGACATCACACGACTGGCAGTGCAACAACTGTGGTCATGGTCTTCTGCATGGCAAAGTATTGGGGGAGGAGACTGTTAATTCTATTTTTTTTTTTTCTTTTTGTGACCGGTAAGGGGCTCGTAACCCTTGGCTTGGTGTCGCCTGCACCCCACTCAGCCAGTGTCATGGTCTTCTGCATGGCAAAGTATTGGGGGAGGAGACTGTTAATTCTATTTTTTTTTTTTTCTTTTTGTGACCGGTAAGGGGCTCGTAACCCTTGGCTTGGTGTCGCCTGCACCGCACTCAGCCAGTACCCACTCAGCCAGTGAGTGCATCAGCCATCCCTATATAGGATCCGAACCCGTGGCCTCGGAGCACCCAGCGCCGCTGCGCGCCCAGCGCCGCACTCTCCCGAGTGAGCCATGGGGTCAGCCCAGACTGTTAATTCTTAACCCTAAGAAGCGAGCATTAGACTTGGAGTCAGGTCTTTGGTTCAAATTTAAGCTTCCTCATTTGTTATCTACATGACTTTGAAGTAAATCACTTATGCTCACTTGGTTTGTTTCTTTACCCATAAAATGGAACAGTACCAGTTCTCTCGAGGGTTTTCCTCAAGCAATGTGAAGCCTACATAGGAGGCTTAAGTACTAGCTGAACTGGAATCTGTATGTGATATTTACTGCAGCTATTTCTGAATATAGTCGTCAAGAGTGTATGATATTTAAACAAGCAGGACAATGAGCTATGTTTTAATAGGTCTCTGAGGGATAGCCAAGAGTCTTGAGGCTGGGGAAGTAGAGTGCAGGAAGAGAAAAGAAATCACATACGCACAAGTTGAAGAAATTTGGAAACTGAAACTAAATGCCAAAAGAATCACCAACAAAAACTAACTGAGGAACCACCTCAGTCTTTTAAGAACAGCTGGTTAGGAGGCATGAATCCCCAACCACCATAAGTTTGGATGAACGGACTGAATTTGTTATTTTCCAAAAGGCAGTAGTATCTGGAACCTACATACCTGCCTGGGCTAATCAGAAGGTTAATGAAGTGATTAATTCTTTAGGGTTATTGTAGACATCATCAACAGGCTATGAGCGTGTTTTACTATCCTGGCAAATCTGGTTTTCATACATAGTAAACAATGGTCTTGTTTAGGGAAAGATGGAAAGAAAGAAAGAGAACAGGTCTGAAATTGATTTAATATCTATGGCGAGAATAAAAATAGATATGGTCCCAGGTATGTGAAAGGGTCATTTTCAGGTGCTTCGTCGCTCTCAGTTTTTTGGCAGTGGAGCGGCTTGAATCCCAGCCCTGTCTTCCCTGTTCATCCGTCATCTCCAAGAGAACAGAGATCTAGCACAAGCTCTGGCCCAGGAAGGGTACTGCGAAATTTTTTCAACAAAATTAAATGTTCTAAGACAAAAAGAGAGCATTCTGGATTATTCGTTGGCAATTTCAAGATCGTAAGTTTGCTGTGAACTGTCCTGTCAGTGTCCTGAGCATCAGCCTGCCCACCGTTTTCCAAGTTTTCAGTGATAAGTCATCCCTGGTTTACCTGTTGCCATGATCAATTTTGGCCGTGACCTTCTTCTTGAGCTCTGCCAGTTCGTCCTTGGGGAGTGTCCCAGACAGGATCTGGGACCGCCACTCGATCAGGCTGTATGTCATCTGCTGCAGCTGGCGGAAGAGGGTGAGCTTGTTGTTCTAAGATGGTAAAATGAGGTAGAGGAAAGGACAAGAAAAAAAAAGGTGTGATGGAGGATGGAGGATGGGAACATCTCTTGACTACTCCTCATAAGGTGTTATTTAATCAGTTAACTGTGTCACACAGTAAGCTGCACGCTTTGAGGGATTTTTAAGATAAAATACAATAGGGATGGCTTTGTCCCAAGCCACTCCCACCCCCTCCCCTATTGCAACTTCAGAAAAGGACAAACAATTGTAGGATAGATAGCTGGTCCTAAACCATAAATATATCAGATCATCTGTGCACCCTAAAATTCCAACCATGTCCCTCCTCTGTTTAAAACCCTCCAGGGATCGCCACTGTTCTCCAGAGGTAGAAGATCAGAATGTAAGTTCCTTCATATCACATCCCGTGCTGCATCTCACACCAATCTCCACCTCAAAAATCTACGCTCCCTCCACGCAAAGCTATGTCCACTTCTCCGGAGTGCTCCAGACCTCCTCATGTTATTCCCTCTGCCTGGAACCACATTCCTCCTCTTCCTCTGAACCTACCCCCAACGCCACCCACTCCTCACACTACATCCTCCACCAACTGGCTCACTCTGACTTCTTCTGTCTCTGCTTAGAGGTCTCTTCCTTGAAACCCCAACTCTGGGTTCGCTGTCCCCCCTCCCACAGCACTTGGAATCTACTTCACCACAGCACTCAGGACCCTGGGTGATGCTGAATGCCACCCCCCACCACCTTAGGTGGTAAACTGCACAGGACGAGGAGTTTGCTTGTTTTTGCATCCCTGGAAGCTGGTACAGAGTAGATGCTCTATAAAATGTACCGAATGAGTGAATTATGAATGGAGAAATGAATGCCATTTCAGAGATTAGGGATATTGGAAAATAAAATTTTAAACATTATTTTAAAATCTCTGTTTCCTATAAAATTGTTAGACCATTCAGACATTAAACTGTTATTCAGGGCTTCACTAGTAAACTTACTGTAACTGAACTAAATTAACTTGTAAGCAACTAATCATTTGTGCTTCAGAAAATAAAATTTTAAACATTATTTTAAAATCTCTGTTTCCTATAAAATTGTTAGACCATTCGGACATTAAACTGTTATTCAGGGCTTCACTAGTAAACTTACTGTAACTGAACTAAATTAACTTGTAAGCAACTAATCATTTGTGCGTCTGTCACTTTCAGAGTCAAAAATATTTCATGTCTGAGCCATCACAACCTCAGTTGTATCTAAATGACTGACTGTTCCATTATATTAAAAAAAAAAGGTCAGTGAGCATCTGCTATGCTCTAGAAGTAAAGTGCCTACCTACGAGGATCTGACATACAGCAATAAATAAGTAAACTTATATTATATTGTACTATACTATATTAAAGTACACACATACAAGGCAATTTCAGATTATGGAAACTGTAAGAAAGAAAATAAATAGGGCAATATAATACTGTGTACAAGGGGGAAGGAGGTCGCTTTAGTAGAGTGGTCAGGAAAACCGGTTTTGTGTATCACTCTTGAGATATGTTAAGAGAAATAAAAATCTGTTCAATTCCATCCATACTGTATATATCATGAGACCACTTCCTTCTTATTTATAGGTGAAAGTCATGATAAGTTATATAACCATATACTTCTGGAATCACAGGAAAACATTCTTATTATCAGCCATAAAAATAAAGCTCACACATGCACACACAGACACTGATGACCGTATAGCATGTTCTCTAGTGATGTTCCTCTACAACATTCCCAGGGACATGGATTCCTGGGCAACGTATTGACTAGAAACAGGACTGAAAACACCCAACATGCTTCTGAACCAAGAGTACACTGAGGAAGAGCCCTCAGCCTAGAAGGGGCAGTGGGAGATACCAATGAGATTAGCAGAATGGGATTAACCCTAACAGAAGTTCAAAGTTCTGTGAGAACACAAAGGACAGAAATGGTGAACCTGTTTGTGATGGTGATATTCTCTGCTAACACTGTGGGTCTTAAAAATACAGAAAGCAAAGCCTGTTTAAAATGTTGAAACTACCTACATTTTTGTGCATTTTCCAAATTACCTCTTTCATCAGCTAGTCCTTACAAAGCATAAAAATGAGGGTTTTAAAGGTTCTATTTTTAACAGGGAAAGGTAAAAACCT